TCACCCCCTGCGCCCCGGCCTCGCCCCCCGCGCTCCGGCCTCATCCCTGTCTGACCCGGCCTCAGCCCCCGCGCTCCGGCCTCATCCCTGTCTGACCCGGCCTCAGCCCCCGCGCTCCGGCCTCATCCCTGTCTGACCCGGCCTCAGCCCCCGCGCCCCGGCCTCAGCCCCCGCGCCCCGGCCTCAGCCCCCGCGCCCCGGCCTCAGCCCCCGCGCCCCGGCCTCAGCCCCCGCGCCCCGGCCTCAGCCCCCTGCGCCCCGGCCTCACCCCCCGCGCCTCGGCCTCACCCCCCTGCACCCCGGCCTCGCCCCCCGCGCCCCGGCCTCGCCCCCCGCGCCCCGGCCTCGCCCCCCGCGCCCCGGCCTCGCCCCCCGCGCCCCGGCCTCGCCCCCGCGCCCCGCTAGGAAGCTGTCTTCATTCTGCTCTCCGTGCCTGTGCGGGGCCAGGGCCCAGGAAGGGCGGAGGGGACTCTTCGCCAAGCCTGGGCTTCACTCCGGTGCTGGGGCTCTCCGTGCTGACTGTGCCCGCTGTGGCTCACCTGGGGACACGCAGGGGCACTGCCAACACCTGCCCCCCCCCCCCCCCAGCCCGTTTTTCGCAGGAAAGGCCACCTCACCTCCAGCGCCTCTGCCTCTGGCAATGGAAGCACGCCGGCCTGAGCGGGCAGCCCCGGCTCCCGAGAATCCTGGGAAGGAGTGGGACTTCCTCCGACTCCCACAAGTCCAAGGCTAGCTTCTTCACATTCAAACCCTGGGGAGGTTGTTAAACTTATTTGACCAAAAGGTTATCCATAAAACACAATTTTCCGCCGAAGCCGGTTTGGCTCAGTGGATAGAGCGTCAGCCTGTGGACTGAAAGGTCCGGGGTTCGATTCCGATCAAGGGCATGTACCTTGGTTGCGGGCACATGCTCAGTGGGGGGTGAGTAGGAGGCAGCTGATCGATGATTCTCTCTCATCGATGTTTCTATCTCTCTATCCCTCTCTCTTCCTCTCTGTAAAAAAAAAACAACACAAAAAAAACAAAACACACACACATACACACACACAATAAAATATATTAAAAAACAAACAAACAACAACAAAAACACCACAATTTTCCTTTTAACAGACTGGAAAAGGACTACACAAATCCCACATTTCTTCAGAGCTAAGAAATCCTTGTCCTCTGTCAGAGGAGGAGGCCCAGGCCGGAGGAGGTGGCCACGGCGTCCGAGGCCGTGTTCCCCGGGTGCGACGGGGGCTGGTAACAGGTAGAGACAAACTGAACAAGACTCATGAGGAGTGGTCGGTGAAAGGAGTGCTTAGTGCTCAGTGATCCAGGGTAAAGGATGGAAGAAAGCAAGGGTTAGTCTGGACAGTTGTAGCTAAACATCCAAGAAAATTAGACAAACTTAGGATTCGATTCAATTCATAGGTGAAAGATAAAACTTCAGACAATTAATTGGAATCAGCTCACAATTATGTATTATAGTATAGAATCTGCTGAAACATGATTTCCTCCCTAAAGTTACTCTTATTTTTATTAAAGACTGATGCATTTATTGTATTGCCCGGTTGCGTTTGGCTGGGGTTGGATGAATACAGTAGGAACAGTAACCAGCTGTATAGGCTCCTGTAGAATCTGTCCTGCAGAATCCACGGCCCAGCTCAGTGAGCGCCTCAGGGCACAGCAGACTGCAGGTGTGTGTGTGTGTGTGTGTGTGTGTGTGTGTCCAAGGCATCCCACACGCCCCTGTCTGTAGGTCTTAAACAGCTCCGTACGTTCTAGTGCAGCTCAGTCCCTGAGCGGAAGTCAGGAGAAGCGCCTGGCAGTCACCTGCCCTGAGGCTGCGGCCTCCGGCAGGAGTGAGCCATTTTCTCCTCTCCGGCCCCTCCTTTCTGCCGGCGTTTCTGCTTGTTTGTTTGCGTTTTGCTGTGTCCTGGGCCCGAGAGGATTACAAGCTGGCTGCAAATGGCCACCCTGTTTGGCTTTAATTTCCTGTTAACATTCTTTCTTATAAATCTTATCTAATTTTTACAAACCTTTTCTACAACCTTTAGGAATAGTTTCCAAAATGCATCTCTAAGCACCATGCCTTTTATTACCAAAATCACCTAATTTCCAATTAATAATTCTTAGAAGCCTCAATCCTCAAAAACCAAGCAAAGCAAACAGCTGGCATTCCTTCGATGGGCCCTTCGGAGCACCCTGGAGCCTGGGGCACAGGAAGTGTGCAAGGCAGGGTCCCTAGGCCTGGCCAGCGACCAGGGCCCATCTGTGGGGCGTCCAGCGGGTGGGGTGATGGAGGGGGCCCTCGATGGCACCTGCCTTGGCTGGAGGCCTAGCGCCCTTTGCTCACTGACCCCGCCCCCTTTGCAGGGTGACTGGCAGGCTGACCCCGCCCCCTCTGCAGGGTGACTGGCAGGCTGGGCAAACAGGGGGCCCACGCGCAGGCCGGACCAGGGGCAGCTCCTGCATTGAGCGTCTGCCCCCTGGTGGTCAGTCGTTCCCCTGGTTGGTCAGCCATTCAGTCGATTTGCGTATTAGGGATTTATTACATAGGATTTTAAACATAGTTTGAAAGCACATTCTCAAGAAAGCCAAAGACATTTTAACAGACTTTAAGCAACAAAGATGGAAGCAGGCGGTCCGCAGGGAAAGCTGTGATGGGTTAACTTGATCTGCTCGTGGCTGCGTTTTTCCCAGAAACTTTATCTTTAAAGGCGGCCAGGCTGGTGTCTGACCAGGCGCTTGCATTTCAGAGGTCCCGGAACTGCAGGGGACACCGCAGAGAACATGTTCCACATCCAAACCTGCGTCCTCCTCCGTCCTGTCTGGTGATCGACTGCCCTCGAGGATGGACCCGCCCTGACCCACCTCCCCTCCCACTGTGAATGCTCCCAGCCCTTGGCGTGGGGTGAACACCAGGGCAGCCTAGGCGAGGGCATTCCCTCCCTGGCCCCCTGGCATTCTATTGAAGACCACACCCCCTCTGGGCCCCACAAGGCCACCGCCAGGAGCTGCTCCGAGGAGGCATCGAGGGGATGGGGGAATCCGCTCACGCATGGCTGGGCCCACCTTGGCAGGGGACACAGAGAGGCAGACCGGTCGCCGGGCCAGGATCCCAAGAACTTAGTGTCCCTGTGCCCCAGCCTCGGGCGGAGGAGGGAAGAGGCAGGGACGTCCAAGCAGACCTCCGGCACCAGGAATCCTAGCCGGGGACGAGGCTGGGTGGGCTGGGTGTGTCCAAGTGTGCTGCTGCGGTCCCCCCAGGTGCTGGTCCCTTCCCTCCTCTTGCGGCTGTTTCTCTGCCCTCAGTCCTCCCCCCGGCCGTCTAAAACAGCCGCGAGGGCCCCGGGCTCGGAGTGACCAGCTCTTACGTGCACCCCCTGGACAGGTCAGAGTTCAGTTACAGTTGTATTCCGAGTTCCTGAGGCCCCTGCACGTCTTAGGTTCAACCACAGACACCTCCACACGGTCCTTACTCACGTAGGGGCATTCGAGATTCTCAAACGGGCGGGGGGGGGGGGGCTGCCTCTTTGACCTTCGGAGCCTGGGCAGAGCCCAGGCACTGGTCATTGGTTGGACTTGTCTCGCAGCTGGTGGGAAGCCTACTGCTTTCTAACGGGGCCCTCCGACAGCCCTTCACCCTCCAGGGGCGCCTTTTTCCCCCAAATATATTTTATTGATTTTTTACAGAGAGGAAGGGAGAGGGATAGTCAGAAACATTGATGAGAGACAAACATCGATCAGCCACCTCCTGCACACCGCCTACTGGGGATGTGCCCGCAACCAATGTACATGCCCTTGACCGGAATCGAACCCGGGACCTTTCAGTCCGCAGGCCGACGCTCTATCCACTGAGCCAAACCGGTTCCGGCAAGGGGAGCCTTTTTATGTGGCGGCCGCCGGAATGGCTTTAAGTGGCGGGCCCAAGCCTGGTTTTAGATGGGCCGAAGGCCGAAGACCGCATTTGGAAAATGAAGAGACAGGCTCCCTTTATGTGGAGAGGCTGGGCCTGGACCAGCCGTACAGCTGAGCCCGGGAGCCGGAGCCGCGGAGTTTTCCCGGGGTCCGTGCTCAACGCCAAGTCAGCTCCACAGACCAGAGGGCGTGGGCACAGGCGGGAGTTTGTACAGCAGACCCAGACTCCCGCCCGGGCAAGGCCAGGGAGGGCTGCCGTGAGCCTGCTCCTGCATCTCTCCGCGCTGTCCCTCGGTGGCTCCTGCCACACGGACTGAACTCCCCCGTTTGTTCTCCCTGTTCCTGTGCGGCTACACCTTGTGCTGCAGCCCTTGCTGGGTCTCCACGCCTCCTGCTCCGGTCCAGAGACGCCTCTCACTCTGCCCGGTGGCTCTGTGGTCAGGCTGCTGCACGGCCCGTCTGCCCTCCTGTGCCCCTATTTGTCCCCACCGGCCCCGTCTGCCCTCCTGTGCCCCCCTGTGTCCCCACCGGCCCCGTCTGCCCTCCTGTGCCCCCCTGTGTCCCCACCGGCCCCGTCTGCCCTCCTGTGCCCCCCGTGTCCCCACCGGCCCCGTCTGCCCTCCTGTGCCCCCGTGTCCCCACCGGCCCCGTCTGCCCTCCTGTGCCCCCGTGTCCCCACTGGCCCCGTCTGCCCTCCTGTGTCCCTCTGTGTCCCCACTGGCCCCGTCTGCCTGCCTGTTCCCTGCCTTTGTCCCCACCGGCCTGCCGGCCGTCTGCCCGCCTGGCCAGTTAATCCTTCCACATGGACCAGATAACAGGGTGGTGAAGGCCTGGGGTGGGAACTGGATGGAGGGGGCAATGAGGAAGGGGCAATGGGGACATTTCTAAGTCTCAACAATAAAGATTAAAAAATTAGTGATGATGTTACTAAAGGGAGCTTTTAAGGAAGTTTGTTAAAAATTAAACTTTGAAAATACACATACATTTTGCATTAGCTTAAAGGTTAGCAATTTATTTTAGTTGCAAGCCATCCAAAAGAGAACCCAAAGATCAATGGTACTATTTACTTTAAAGAAGCACAAAAGACATAAAAATACCCAGTACAAATTTATTGTGCATTAGGAAGCTTAACTTAAAACCAACAGCATAATAAAAAGAGATGTCATTTTTGTTCATAGTAGAACAGATTTCAAAATATATTTTCTTTTAAATGTATTCAAGCAGTACATAATCTTTTATAAAAGTTACATATATATTTGTCAATACCTTCATTACATTTATAAATACTAGATTTGCACAGCACTCCATCAAAAAAATTTAAACCCCTCAAAAAAGATGTACATAGATCTCAAACCTACAAACCCTTCACAGGACTCTGTTCAAGGTGGGCCTAGCGAAGGGTTCATGGTGCAAAATGCATGTAAATCTGTAGTTTTGTCTGTAAAACATCTTGAAAAATTAGCAAGACACTGTGAAACAGTTTCCTAAACCATCATATTGTAGGAAGAACTCGATGTGCATATTCCCATGGGATTCAATGTCAGACACACAGGGGAGAGAGACCTGCTGAGAACAGCCACTTACAGAGCAGTGACGGCAGAGGTGATGACTGAGGCAAGGACGGGCGTGGGAGGAACTAACAGTCCTGCGGCCGAGTCTGCGAGGGTCCGGCCCGGGGCCCCTCCCGGCCCGGGGTCCCTCCCGACACGGCAGTCCCTCCCGGCACGGGATCCCTCCCGGCACGGGGTCCCTCCCGGCCCGGGGCCCCTCCCGGCACGGGGTCCCCTCCCGGCACGGGGTCCCCTCCCGGCACGGGGTCCCTCCCGGCCCGGGGTCCCTCCCGGCCTGGCGGTCCCTCCCGGCCCGGGGTCCCTCCCGGCACGGGTCCCCTCCCGGTACAGCGGTCCCTCCCGGCCCGGGGCCCCTCCCGGCACGGCGGTCCCTCCCGGCCCGGGGCCCCTCCCGGCACGGGGTCCCTCCCGGCCCGGGGCCCCCACTCCCTAGGAAAGCTGCCGCTGAACACCTGCAGAAGCACCTCTCGCTCGGGGCCGCTCCAGAACGCGTGGTGTGTGTTTCTTCTGTAAAATCGCCTTGAATCCACCAAGACACTAGGTGAAGGAATCTGAATTGCTATTTCTTCATATTTAAACTCGTAGGAAAAATTCTCTTCACGGTGAAGGACACCACGGTCAGTATCATGAACACCCCGTGTGTGTGCTGGGTCTCATTCTAGCCACGAACGTGAAGCGGAGGCGAGAGCAGGGCAGTAAGCCCGGCTGTGACCTGAGAACAAAGGCAGCAGGTCCCCGTGCTGAGTGGCTCCGGAGGCGCCCGCTCCTCACACCTGTGGGCCCCGTGGCACTTTCCAGAGAAGCAGGACGAGGAAGGCGGAGGGTTCTGCACCGTGAATCTGGCCAGAGACGCAGTCCTGCAGCTTCTACGGAGCAGGACCTGGGGCTGCTGCCCTCGGCCCTGGAGGTGAGAGAGGAAAAAGCCGGAACTCCAGATAACTCTGAGAGCTGCGTACTATTTGCAGCAACGTATTTCAAACCCTAACTTGTTCCAATGCACAACCTGAAAGGAAAGGAATGGAAGAGGAGGAAGAGGAGGAAGGGGGGGCAGAGGGTTACTTATCACACGTGGCCCTAAAGGGGCCACTCATCTCCCCTCCAGCACCGGGCCCCCGGCGCCCGCTGCGCTCACAGCTCGGTGCACTGGCCCACCGGCTCCCCGCAGGGCGACAGGCCCCAGGCGCGGCCGCCCGGCAGCAGGGGCTCCATGTCCTCGTCGCTGTCGCGCTCCGGCGTGTCGGTGACGGTGCCGCTGAGGCTGCTGCTATGTTTCTCAGCCCCGTGACTGCATTCAGGGATGAATAAGGCCACCAGGAAAGAGAAAAGAACTAAGCACGCCCCAAATAAAAACGGCGGGCCTGGGATGAGGGCTCCCTGTGGGTGTGGAAACAAGCAGAGATGAAGAGTTTGGTTAGTCTCCTCAATGCAAAATGAGCTCTGGGTGACCAGACCCACACTGCCTCCGGAGAACCACTCCCTGCACAGTGTCCTGCATGCCAGGCAAGCTCCAGGCCCGGCGCCCTTTCCGGCCGCCCTCACCGCTCAGCACGGAGCCAGCCTGTGAGGACAGTGGTTTACCTCTAATCTCACCCTCTGGGCCCAGGTCATGCATTCTGTCCTTGAACATTCCAATTCTGTATAAAAATCTCTATTAAATATTGCTTAGAAGGAGGGAGGGAAAATACTAAATAAAGAATAGGAAACAGACTCTAGTTCAATTTCTAGCTGGAATTGTAGGTAATTTTATACTTTATCTGGCTTGGGTTTCCCCAGAAGACAGGGTTCTGATCAGAGCTACTGGGTAGGTGAGAACAGAATCTGAACAAATTAAAATAAATCTTTTATATGAGACACTGAGTCACCGAAACCAGGAGCACTGCATGCGGCCTCCCAACTGGCAGGTCCAGCAGTTGCTTTCGTGTACAAACGAGGACGCGCCACCTCTGCGGTCAGAGAGCTTCTGCAGTCACACATTCCCAGTGACAACACTAGGCTAATCACCAATCACCTGCGAAGCAGCACTGGGAGGACTCGGTTTCGGTTCCACGTCCGTCAGCTCCACGTGGAACATGTAGAATATGAGGCCGTACAGCGCCGGCCCAAGGCCGTTACACAGTCCTCGGATTCCAGTTATGATCCCCTGGGCAACTCCTAAGTGAGAACAAAGAAGGCAGTCTTCTCAGAAAGGCACGCGGGGGGGAAAAGAGGAACAACTGTAATACTCTGAACAATAAAGATTTATTAAAAGGAAAGAAAAGAGCCAAAGAGGACTCAGTCCATGAAAGGGCGGGTGTCCACGGCAGGGACACACAGTCTGCGGTCACTATTTTAGTTTTTTATTATTTAAAAAAAATATTTTTATTTACCTCTTCCTAAATGCAGCTCATGCCTCAGAGGGAGTCCAAACTAAACAAGTTCCAGTGACAGTGAGGAGACAAAAAGCTCGCTGTTTTGCTAACTGGTCTGTCATCCTTTAACAGACATCTGCTACAGTCCAGTTACTTCCGATGGCATCACAATAAAGAGGAGTCACAACGAAAAAGAGGAAACAGTCCCATTTCTATCTCTGAGTGTTCTGAGCTGCTGAGTGCACATGTTAACAACATGAGGGTGATTCAGAGCAGGACGGACGGCAGACAGGTGTGCCACCGCGGAGGGCGCACCGGGGAGGAGGCTCAGAGCTGCGCGGCTGCCGGCAGGGGCGTCTCAAGGGCAGGAGGAACCGAGGGGACGTGCTCTCACCTTGCTGGTCGGACTCCGCGTTCTGAGACACCAGGGCACTGATGGCCGGGAAGGTGATGCTGGACGCGGCAGCCACGGCTCCTGCAGCCCACACCATCCTGCAGGGACAGGGCAGGTCAGGGCGGGCCGGCGCTGGGCGCTGGCGGAGTGCCGTGGGGCGGAGCACGAGGTGCTGTCTGTCCCCCCAGGTCGCCTCGTATTTAATCTTTCCTCTTTACAAAGGGTTTGTTTGCTTTTTTAATCTGGAAAGTTATTCGTCACTTCATAGGCTGGGATTTCACCTCTTTCAAAACCTGTTCTGCTTGGTTTCCCTTTAGCACCGTTAGATGCAAGCCTGATGCAGCTCGAAAGGCTTTGGTTTGTTTCCACAAATGCCACCTGTCCCCCGGACCCGCGTTCTGGGTGTCGGAGGCCGAAGCTGCTCCTCAGCTGCCCTCGGGCGGAGAAGCCGTCGTGCAAGACGACACCTGCGGGCTCCCAACCGCGCCCTCTGGGCCGAGCCTGTCACACGGCCTGGCCCGGCCAGCTCAGCCAGGCCTGCCCGCGGCCGACGCGCTTCCTTAGACTCTGGTCCTTCCCCAGTGAGGGAACCTGAGTGGGAATCAGCAGCAGGCTTCTGTGAGGAGGCAGGTGCACCTGGGCTGAACCCCTCGGTCACACCAGAGGAAACGCACACCCTAAGGAAGAGCCTCCAGATGGGCAGCGTCCTTTCCTGCGCGAGCCTGGCGGACGCAGCTCCGCAGCCCGAGTCCATGGCACCGAATCCCACGAACAAGAACCACCTGCTGACCTCTACGCACCTCTCCTGTCTCTGTTCTGTCAGGCATGCAAAATGAGTAACTAATATTTAGAGAGACAGGACCCCTGGATTTGATAGCCAGCATTGGGGACACTAGCCACATCACAGAACAGCACTCGGGCCTGTCATTTCTCCTGGCTCAGGGCTTATTCTGGCCTTCCTGGTAGGGGACTAGACTATGCCAGCAGGGTCACTGCCCCAGGATACACATGGTTTTGGAAGAGATCTTAGGATTCATCTATTTCAAGTTCTTATGTTATAAAGTCACGCAGCTAATTACAGCGATGAGCCTGCTATCAATTTTCCTTGCCTTTTTGTTTTAGAGCATATCTGATGTCCCAAAAACTGACAAATGTGTTTAAAATACAGACATAACATTTCTGTGGGGCTGGAGGAGGAAGCACACACATTTAATTAACAACTTACAGACAGCCACGAAGGTGAAGACAGTTTTTACAAATGATCCTGCCACCTCGCTCAGCCTTCCCAAAACTAAGTCCAAACAGGTTTTGAAATGTCGAGGGCACCAAACTGGTCAGTAGCCCCTGCTGCCTTCACCCCACCCGTCATCCCCGCTCCCCCAGCCTTCCCGGTGGGTGAGGCCCGGAAGGCTTACCAGGCCTGCGATCCGAGCCCGTACCAGGCCAGCTGGAGCCCCTGCAGGCCCAGGCCCAGGAGCACCGTCTTCTTCTTCCCCAGCGACCGCATGGCGACGGGGAGCAGGGCTGTCTGCAAAGCCAAGGAGAGCTGAGGAGACGGACACCGCGGGGCTCGGGGAGGGGCCCAGGCAGGGACCACACGGAGCTGGGAGCTGACGCAGGGCCCTCGGCTCCTCCCCACGCTGTCCCTGGTGCTCTGCTGGCACTTCCCCGGGGAGGTGAGAGCCATTCACCGGCTGCCGTGCCGAGGCACACGGCCTCAGTCTTTTCTGAGAAACGCCAGTCCCTTGCCCACCAGTGACGAGCAAGCCCTGCTGAACAGTACAGGGCGCGGGGAATTTTGCTGGAGGTTAGCAGCTTTGCAAAGTTGGACTGATATGGATTTGATTTTAGCACAGATGTACTCTGTTAAAAAACTATTTCAAATGGTCTGGGCTAACGACCAGAGCTAACATACCCGCCCGCCCCCACCCGCCTGCCAAATGATGAGCAACTGGAAGTGTAAGGTAATGTACATTTGCTGGTATAACTGGACGGAAACAAACACAGGCCTTTGCCTGATGCGTTCCCGGGAGCCTTGTCGATGAGAACACGGAGGCGACACAGCCTGCGGCCTCCTTCCCGGCCCCAAGGACACGGCGGCCGCAGGGGAGCAGGCTCAGTGCAGCCTGCGCCTGTGACAGAGCAGGAATCCAGTGCTCTTCGCGCATCACGCTGCCCCACGCACCGCCCTGCCCCATTTCTTCGAGCAGAGGTCGGACAGGTGCCGGCTTCCATTTCTGCTTTTCACTTCCACTCACTTCTCAGCATTAAAGTGACACAGAGCATTCTCCTGGCAGTAAGTGTCTGGCTCTCTGGAGTCCATGTCAGTTCCCGGGGCCTGCTATTGCACCGCAGACACGTCACTCCCACGGCGGGGGAACGAAGGCAGGCGTGCGGGAGACATTCCCACAGCTTCCTGTGAACTTACGGGTATTTCCGAATAGAAATGTTTAAAAAAGAAATGAGAAAAATGACACTCACCTGAGCCACAATAGACAGAATTCCCAGCACAGCTATGAACTCTGCAATTTTAACAGATCCAAACCCTATGATCTGTAAAACAGAAGGGGAGAGGTAGAAATACTATTGTTAATATAGATATTACAAAAATAAGAAATGTTATATTTTAGTAAGGCTATAGGACAAAACAGTTGGAAAAAGTTAATAAAACCTTGATTATGGCAAATTAAGGCAGTGCTGAAAGTTGAGCCTATTTAATCAGAAAATTTACATCTAAATATGATAAAAAACCATTACAAGTAAGCATAACTTAACAAATATTTTAAAGACATTTTTTACTACAGACCTATCGTTTCATATTCCTTCCCATCCCCAACCGACCGAAAAACAAAGATGTTATCAAGCATTAGAGAAATATAAACATAGCCTGACTTCTGATGCAGAATTGGAATTTACTCATTAGCACGTTCAGTGTTTCTCAGCGTTGGCTGCACATTAAAATCACGTGGGCCTGAGGGGAAGGGGGAGGGAGGGAGCAGTGAGACTCTGCAATCATGGAGACCAACTAGGCAGTCTCACGCCTCCACACAGGCCCGTTCCACAAGCTTCACCTCAGCAGCTCTGATATGCCAAAAACTATTCGTTTTAAATACCAAGTTTTTAAAAAATGTATCTTTATTGATTTCCTGGAGAACGGAAGAAGGCGAGAGATAGAAACACCAGTAAGAGAGAGTCATTGCTCAGCTGCCTCCTCCATGATCCCTTCTGGGCATGTGCCCTTGACCAGAGTTGAACCTGGGACCCTTCAGTCTACAGGCCGACGCTCTATCCACTGAGCCAAACTGGCGAGGGCTCTCAAACACATTTTACAGATCAGGAACAAGTAAAGGATGTCCACTCTTGCCATTTTATTTGATACTAGAGGCTCGGTGCACAAAGTTTGTTCACTGGGTGGGGGGTGCCCTCAGCCCGGCCTCTGCCCTTTCACAGTCCGGAGCCCTCGGGGGATGTCCGACTGATGGCTTAGGCCCATCGGTCAGACGTGCTTAGCGCCGCCCCAGTGGCAGGAGAGGCTGCCGCCACCACTGCTGTGCTTGCCAGCCACGAGCTGGCTTCTGGCGGAGCAGTGCTCCCTCTGTGGGAGCCACTGACCACCAGAGGGTATCTCTTGCACTGAGCATCTGCCCCCTCCCCGGTGGTCAGTGTGCATAACAGCAACTGGTCGTTCCATCGTTTGGTCAATTTGCATATTAGCTTCTTTTATATCGGACTAGAGGCCTGGTGCACAAATTCGTGCTCAGGTAGGGTCCCTAGGCCTGGCTGGCGAATAGGACTGGCCAGGGCCTGCCTTTCCTGGCTGCCGGCTGCCAGCTGGGGCCTTTCTTCCCCTGGCTGCTGGCTGAGGCCTTCCTCGGTCATAGTGTCCCCTGGTGGTCAGCACACATTAGAGCAAGTGGTCGAACTCCTGGTCAGTCAAACTCCCAAGGGGACAATTTGCATATTAGCCTTTTATTATATAGGATAGTATTGGTAGTTCTAGCATCAGCAAAGAGGCAAGAAAAAGAAATAAAATGTATCCACATTGGAAGTGAAGAAGTAAAACTGCCTGGCTGGCGTGACTCAGTGGTTCAGCGTTGACCTATGAACCAGAAGGTCATGGTTTGGTTCCCGGACAGGTCACAGGCATGACCCCCAGTTTGTGGTGTGCAGGAGGCAGCCGATCAATGATTCTCTCTTCACTGATGTTTTCATCTCTCTCCCCCTCTTTTCATCTCTGAAATCAATAAAAATATATATATATAAAAAAGAATAAAATACCTAGGAACAGTCTTAACAAAGGAAGTGAAGATTATATTCTTACTCTGAAAATTACAAGACATTGTTGAAGGAAGCAGAAAACACACAGCTATTCTGTGTTCATGGATTGGAAGAATTAACTTTGTTAAAATGGCCCTGAATAGTCAAAGCACTCTTAAAAAAAAAAAAAAAAAAAAAATATATATATATATATATATATTAATTAAAAGTGCTTTGAGCCGAGACCGGTTTGGCTCAATGGATAGAGTGTTGGCTTGGGGACTGAAGGGTCCCGGGTTCAATTCCGGTCAAGGGCATGTACCTTGGTTGCGGGCATATCCCCAGTAGGGGGTGTGCAAGAGGCAGCTGATCGATGACTCTCTCATCGATGTTTCTAACTCTCTATCTCTCTCCCTTCCTCTCTGTACAAAATCAATAAAATATATTTTAAAAAATAAAAATAAAAATAAAAAAAATAAAGTGCTTTGACTATTCAGGGCCATTTTAACAATGATATATATATATATATATATATATATATATATATACACACACACACACACATATATATATATATATATAAAATTGATTTTTTACAGAGAGGAAGGGAGAGGGACAGAAAGCTAGAAACATTGATGAGAGAGAAACATCGACCAGCTGCCTCCTGCACACCAACCACTGGGGATGTGCCCGCAACCAATGCACATGCCCATGACCGGAATCGAACCCGGGACCCTTCAATCCACAGGCTGACGCTCTCTCCACTGAGCCAAACTGTATACAGCAGTCAAAGCACTCTTGAGGAAGAACACCGCTGCAGGCATCACACCACCTAATTTTAAATTATCTTACAAAATTATAGTAATTAAAGCAATCTGGTACTGGCATAAAAACAGACACAGATTAAAGAAACCAATTAGAAAGCCCAGAAATACATCCATGCATATACAGTCAATTAATTTATGATAAAGGAGCCCAGAATATACAACGGGGAGAAGACAGTGTCTTCAGTAAATAGTGTTGGAAAAACTGGACAGCCATGCAAAACAATGAAACTAGACCACCAACTGACACCAAACAAAATAAAGTAACTGAAGTGGATTAAGGACTTAAATGTAGAGCCAGAACCATAAAACTCCTAGAAGAAAACATAGGTGGTGAGCTCCTTGACTTAGATCTTGGAGATGATTTTGTGAATCTAACACCAAAAGCAAAAGCAAAAGCAGAAACAAGGAAGTGGGACTCTATCAAACTAAAAAGGATATCATCAACAAAATGAAAAAGCAATGTACTGAATGGGAAGAAATCACTGGGTGTCATACATTGGATAAGGAACCAATATCCAAAATATACCAGGAATTCATGTAACTCAGTAGCAACAAGCAAACAAATAATCCAATTTAAAATAAGGGCATAAAACTGAATAGGCATTTTTCCAAAGAAGACATACAGATGGCCAACAGGTACATGAAAAGATGCTGAAGCCACTAATCATCGGAGAAGTGCAGTGTCACCTCACACTAGTTCAATGGCCATTTCCACAATACAAGTGCTGGTGGGGATGTGGAGGAAGGGAACGGATACCCCGTTGGCGGGACTGAAATTGTGCAGCCACTAAGGCAGGCAGCCCGGCGGTCCGCACACGGCGGCAGGCGTTAGGACAGATCTGAGTGGAGCGAGGCGACGGCTGCACGGGTCAGCGGGGGAAGCCCAGGAGCCAAACTATGGACAACGGTAGGGAGGAACCTTGACCCAGGGTGACCTTTCTGCTCCTAGCATTTTGCTAGTTACCCAGTTTGACCCTCTGATCTTAGAGGGAACACGGAGGCCTCAGTTATATTTCAGCACCGGGCCCAGGAAGGCGGCAAAACCAGACCAGTGACACCCAGGACCAGCTGCAATGGCTAATGAGTGGCCTCCTGCCCTGGACCGAGACACCCGGGAAGCTGCTGGACCTGCCCTGCTACTGCCCTGGCCCTCCCCACAGCCGCCACCCTCTCCCTCCCTCTCCCCCTGCTCCCCCTGCATCCACCTCATCATCAGCCTCCGTTGCCCAGGTTCTTCATCAGCGCCCAGTTGGCAGGCAGAAACCCTCTCCTGCAGGGCCTCGGGGTGGAGTCGGACATGGTGGGGCAGGCAGGTGAGTGGTTTTTTAAAAAGCAGAAGCTGCCCTGGCCTGGTTTGGCTCAGTGGATAGAGCCTCGGTCTGCGGACTGAAAGGTCCCAGGTTCGATTCCAGTCAAGGGCATGTGCATTGGCTGCGGGCACATCCCCGATGGGAGGTGTGCAGGAGGCAGCTGGTCTCTCATCGACGTTTCTAGCTCTCTATCTCTCTCCCTTCCTCTCTGTGAAAAACCAATAAAATATTAAATAAAAAAAATAAAAATAAAAAGCAGGAGCTGGAGGGCTCTGGCAGAGGCAGCCCGGGGGTCAGAAAGCCCCTTTAAAGCCTGGAGGTGAGGCCCCTGGTCTGTCTGTCTGTCTACCTCCAAGGAGTACACCCGTGCCATTCCCCCTCCCCCCACCCAGGGCACGGAGACAACCTCTAAGGGACCCCATGGGACCTGCAACCAAGGAAGACGGGGGCAGCTGTGCTGGTCCTGGGCTGAGCCCTGAGCCTGACGGACTCCAGTGAGCGCAGGCGGCGGCCGTCTCCTCCACTGCCTGCTCCGGCCACACTGACACTGTCCCCTGTCACTGCCCCACCCGCTCCCTCTCCTCTTCCCCCTCCCCCTCTTCTCTCCCTCTCTCATGGCCCCTCCTCATTTGGAAAGTATCTTCAATAAGCCCCACTTTGCTTTACTTTTATTTTTGTTGACCGTAAAATCTTTTCTACATCAACAAAAAGAACTAAAATCCTAGCCAGTAACTCCAATCAGTAACACCCCCATATAAAGCGTTATTTACTATAAAGATAACGTACCAACCTAAGTGTCCATTGTTAAGTACATGGATAAAGAAATATGGTATCTATAATATGGGATGTTATTCTCCCATAAAAAAGTGCCTATTGGTGGGTGCATGGGTAAAGATGTGACACACTCACACGCACAGAGAAGTACCATCCTTATAATAAAGAGCTAACTATACTAATTAGACCCAATAGCAGAATGACCTTCCCTTGTACGAATTTTGTGCATTAGGCCTCTAGCTCATCAACAAAACAAAATGAAATCTTGCCATTTGCAACAACATGGATGCACCTAGAGGGTATTAAGTGAAATAAATCAAAGACAAATACCATATGAATTCACTTATATGTGGAATCTCACAAAAAAAAAAAAAAAAGGGGGTTCATGAATACAGAACTTATTGGTAGCGGCCAGAGGCAGCTGGGGTGGGTAATAGAAATTGGTAAACTTATTTATTTATTTATTTACTTATTTATTTAATAAATATATTTTATTGATTTTGTACAGAGAGGAAGGGAGAGAGATACAGAGTTAGAAACATCGATGAGAGAGAATCATCGATCAGCTGCCTCTTGCACACCCCCTACTGAGGATATGCCCACAACCAAGGTACATGCCCTTGACCGGAATTGAACCCGGGACCCTTCAGTCCCCAAGCCGACGCTCTATCCATTGAGCCAAACCGGTTTCGGCAGAAATTGGTAAACTTTTTTAAATTTAAATACACTGAAAAGAAAAATACAAAAAACACTTGGAGATAAAAAGGTCAAGTGGACTAGAGGCCTGGTGCACAAAATTCATGCAATAGCAGAAAAGAAAAATTAAAGAGAAATATTATCCTTCCAGAAGATGCAGCTTAGAATAAGACATTTTCAGACACAAAAGAGTGGGGTGAGATGGTTGAACAAAATTACTTTAAAGAGCAAAGGAGCAATTCTTAGCGACAAAACAGAATGCATGAGACAAAAAGGAAAAATTATTGTGTACATTATACATTCTTCTCATTTCATGTCACACAACTTTAGCTGAAAAATGAACTAGAGCTAGATCCTGCTTCTAAATCAGTGTTGCTGACATTCACATTTTTAGCAGCTAATCAAATGCAATTAAAAAATTAGAAAAAAAAATGTGAACTTTAAGGGTTATTTCTCTGCCTACCATTTGTAAATAAGCATATTTTTATTTTTATTTTTTTATTAAGGTATTATATGTGTACATATCTTTCCATTGCCCCCCCACTCCCATGCATGCCCTCCCCCCAATAAGTATATTTTTAAACATTTTACTGATACAATATAAATGCCACACAATTCACCCATTAGAAGTGCACGTTCAGTGGCTTTCTGTGTTCAGAGTTGGACAGTGACCTGTGAAAGAAAAGAGCCACATGCTGACCTGACGAGCTCAGGGGAGGCCTGTGTGGCAGTCTTGCAAACTTAGAGACCTAACATAACCACAAAAGATGGTCTGAAAATTAAACATCGAACTACAAACAGGTTATAGTGGATAGTCATTTTCCCAAAGATCAACTTTGATCTTTTTACTGAGCCCATTTGCCTTTTGCCTCTAAGATAACACACTGTGAGATGTCTGGGTAACTTGTAACTTCCCTTTTTTCGGAGCCCCTGGTGCACAACCAAATGTGGTGGGCGCCAGGACAGACGCCTCAAATTCCTTCTTTATCATGTTACTTGTTCCTGCACTCACCTGAGTACACGTCCATCATTTTTTTTTATCAAATCCCAGGAGTTTCCCACCACTTTGCTTTCTCCTGCCTCCTTACTCCATCACCAATGAATTTCAGGTAACCCACCTATGTCCCTCCTTTGATTTCAGTGTATAAATAGAGAAATGTAACCCGTCATTCTCTGGAGCATTATCTCAATCCGTTGAGGTTCTGCTTCCCGGCATATGTCAACAGTTTGGCTCAAATAAACTCACAAAAAAATTCTTTACAGGTTTCAATGTTGTTGTTTTTCCCGTTAACAGATCACACCATCAATTGCAGAAGGTCTCCACTCCTTCAAGAAACATCACGCCCTTCTAGGCCCCCTCCCCCCACCCTCCAGCCATCTGTCAGTCTGAGCACATCCCAGGAATGGTACTGAGAAGAGAGGAAGCTAGTCAGGAAGCGGGTGTGGAGCGGAGGAAGTGGCATGTGGCAGCTGAACCACTGGGCAGAGTTACTCAGGCACCCAACTGGGTGGGGAAAGGAGGCGCTCAGAGACCTGAGCTTCAAAACGTGTGAACTGCTAGGACAGGCAACCTGCCGATCACCAACCTCAGACAAGGCTATGACCAACCCCAAGAATGTTATCAGGAGAAACAGTATTATCTTCGTATTACTGTGAGCCTCCTCCAGTCCACAGCAGGGTGCTTCTGAAGTCAATGTTCCCTTTGCAAAACTTAATGGACATTAATGATTTAAAACATGATGATGAATTGCTTCTGCTAATTCTCTATAGTTCTCGAGGTAATTTCCCACAGTAAACACTTCACTGCATTTTAAAACACCACCGTATTAAAGGTTCCTGCCTACTCATCGCATGTCAGCACCTTCATTTATAACTTGAAGCAAGTTGACACATTTTTCTTTTCTCGACACTGTTTTCCCCAAAATATTTTTAGACCAGATGCCAATCCTTGCTTTTTCCTTATGTTTGAAAGCTACTAGGTACCTGCTACACACCTGTCTGAGGTAGAGAAAAAAACTTGAGTACTGCCCAGCTTCAGGAAGGTAAGAAAGAAACACAGTGATGCAGATGAGTAGCACGGTAGGATCTTTTCCAACTTTCTTCAGGGGCTAAGAAAAAGCAGAAAGATGAAAGAAGAAATAGTCAGATGGGTCCAAAATTTATTGGACAATCACTTAGTAAGTTATATAATGTCTAACCACTGGATGCACACCGAAAACTAATATAATATTAGATGACCACTGTAATTGAAAAACAAAAAGCAGCAAACAGAGACTGCCGTCAGATACCCTTCCACACTGGTGTCATGTTTTCAGCTATTGAGGAAGAGTGACACCTGTTGATTGGACCATAAAAGGAAGTGGACCTTCACCTGATATCGATTACCATCTCTCTATGGAGGTTACAAGTCCTCATTTTGGAGATATGTGCTTCAAATATTACAGCATAAACACACACAGACACACACATTTGCTCCTGTTTACTTAACAACATTGCTTCACAACCTGAAACAGACCCTGAACATCCTATAAACACCCTGTAAACATGTTACTCCAAAACTTTTTAAGAAAAATCTGCCCTAACTGGTTTGGCTCAGTGGGTAGAGCGTCAGCCTGTGGACTGAAGAATCCAGGTTCGATTCCGGTCAAGGCATTTACCTTAGTTGTGGGCACATCCCCTAAAGGGACTGTGCAGGAGACAGCTGATTGCTGTTTCTCTCTCATCGATGTTTCTAACTCTCTATCCCTCTCCCTTCCTCTCTGTAAAAGATCAATAAAATATATTAAAAAAAGAAAAATCTGATCTCTCTTTTTCATTCACAACATAACTTATTTAAAGCCATAAACAGTATAGGCATTTCATTACATATAAATTCACTCTATTCTTTAAAATGTTAGCATTCAATTTGCCTGTAAATTGGTCAACAAGATAGTGGTGGGAGGCCTGCCTGCGTCCAGTGTGCCTGGTCTCCTTTCCCCACATGGCACACACGGCTGGGCGCACCGCTACAGGCAGGTCCCGGCCAAGCCCCAAGGAAGCTTTTTGGAAAAGAATTTCTCATGAGTTAGTTTCTTATTACATGTATTTTCCTAAAGGGTAGACTGGGAGGATAAAAAACAAGTATCAACTCCCTGGTTAGTTTTTTTTCTGTACATATTTTCTTCAAGAAGTTTCAAATCAAGAGGGGGAACTAAAGTTCTTCTTCTGAGTACTTTTTTGAGTTTTTAATGGAATTCTCCGATGCAAAAAATAAATATATATATATATATTTTTTAAAAGAAAGAAAACCAAGAATCTAATCTATAAAATACAAGTTCAAAACCCCTGGTCTAAATGGATATATTTCTACAACTTAGAAAATAACTACTTTAGTCAGATCTGATATTTTTGTCCTTTTTTAATTTAGCGAGTGAAAACAACTACTTTAAATGGCCACCTTCATTTCTTTGTTAAAAAATGAATATAAAACACTATGCAAAACCAAAAAAAATTCTTTCCCTCATAGGAACTATGACATTTTTTTCTAACTAGACATTTTTTTCTCTTTTGTTGTGATAATCGCACGCATGACTTAAAAAATACCAACTCTATATATTCCTTGATGCACACTCTACTTCAGTCCCTTCCTTGCAATTAATTTTTTTCTCTTACTGGAGGCAGAAATGGATTAACAATTGCGGGGATGCTTCAGTTTGCAGAAATGTTCTCTTATTTGCATGGCTTAGAAAGATACTTAGAAAAATAATGTTTTCAGCTTTTTATTTACCGCAAAAGGATCTGCTTGTTTCCAAGAAACCTGAGCTCCCCAGGAGAGTGGTCTCATTTTCTCTGGCAAGGATTCTGGAACAGCCAATAGGATGAAGCAGATGTCCAGAAGAGCCACCACCGTGGCCACCAGCACAACGAGGCTGTCTCCGTAGCTCGCTGAGAGGTACGCTCCAATGGCTGGGCTGCTGACCAGACTGGCTGCAAAGGTGGCTGAGACCTGCGGAAAAGGCACTCTCCCAGCGTCCCACCTGCAGCAGGTGCACACCTACAGCCATCCTCCCTCGGTTTTAAACAAGACAAAGGAATGTGCTGCACACAAATTTTAAGAAACGAGAATCAAGGTCATTTTGTTTTAAGAATTTTTTCTTTTTTAAAAAAAATATATATTTTATTGATTTTGTACAGAGAGGAAGGGAGAGAGATAGAGAGTTAGAAACATCGATGAGAGAGAGTCATCGATCAGCTGCCTCTTGCACACCCACTACTGGGGATATGCCCGCAACCAAAGTACATGCCCTTGACCGGAATAGAACCCGGGTCCCTTTAGTCCCCAAGCCTACGCTCTATCCATTGAGCCAAACCGGTCTCGGCTTAAGAATTTTTTCATCCACTACTAACTAATTGGAGATATTGTGTAAAGCTATAAGAGCAAAAAACGAAAGTAATTAAAAATAAAAACTGTGGCCCTGGCCAGTGTGACTCAGTGGGCCACAGCATCATTCCGTACAAAGAAAGGTTGTGAACTTGATCCAGGGTTGGGGTGCATACAAGGCAATGATGAATGTTTCTCTCCCACATTGATGTCTCTCCCCCCACTTCCCTCTCTCTAAAATCAATGAAAAAAATATCCTCTGGTGAGGATGGAAAAAAATAAAGATTGTGCAAATCTTCCTTATAAAGAAAACACACATGTTTTTGTCTTATTTAATTGAGAAATAGGGCTGTGGGAAGAAAGTTATTTTAAAAATGCCCACTGGCATAAGATAAAAACTACCCAGGGACTGTACTTGATTTATCTCTCAGAAATATGCACTATTTGAGCTTCCGGTCAAGATGGCTGAGTAGGAAAACGCAGTCCTTGCCTTCTCCCACAACCAAACAAAAATTACAACTAAATTACAAAGCAATCATCATTAAGGACCTCCTAGAGATCAGAGGGGCGGAGACCCAGAATGGGTTGGCCCCACACCCATATGTGGAGTTAAATCAGGACCGAGCCTCAGCTGCGGAGGCCCCCAGCTCAGGGTACCAGTGCCAGGCCTTATGCAGCTGGAGTCTTGTGGGGCTCAGCAGAGGGATCTTCCTGATCACTTCAGCTAGGTGTTCCAGAAAAGTCTCTTGGGTGGGTTATGTGAGCCCTCCTGTTGTAGTGGCGCCATGACTGCTGTCAGCCCATCTGTGAGTGGACTAACTAACACCCAGCAGGCTGACTATAAGGACCAAAGCTGACCACAGTGTATAAGTCACTGGTGGGACCTCCCTCTCGAATTAGAGTTGGCCCCAGCAGAAAATAGGGACAGCTGAGATCTCTCTGTGAATGTGCCACTTGTGTGGTTGGTCTCTGGTTTGGTCTGAAGCCCACCTGTGGTTGTGCTGGTTCTGAGTCCATTTTGGGAGGAACTCTGGTGCAGGTGACTGTCAGAGGCTGCCTGCAACTGGCTTTGGACCACCTGTGTGGAGCAGCCATGTAATCCACAGTTCGTGACTGCCTCCACTGGGTCTGGGTGTGTGTAGGAATAGACCAGCTGTGTACAAAGGTCGGCTTCAGAAACTCCAAGCCTGGGGCCAATCAATAAAAGGCCCAAGGTACTCGGAGATCAGCCTCCTGGCAGCCTCCACCACCCCAGAGTCGTCTGAATGAAGTCTGTAGTGAGGGCCCAAGCTGTGGTAGCCCACAAGGTGTGAGCTCAGCAGGGCATGGCCACCAGGGACAGAACAGGGCTGCTGGGTCTCCTGTTTGGGGGTGGTACAGGACAGGCACTCAGTGGGGAAAGTGGTCCCTACCCCAGAACCACAGCACTCAGTCACTGCATGAGTCTCTAGCAGAGGATCCTTAAAAAAGGGTCACTGCAGGTCCAGACTGGGTGCGAGAAACAGACTTTTCTGAAGGACATAAGCTTGGCAGGGCAAGGTCACAGGGGTTGGGAGACTGCGTCTAGGGGTCTTCTGGTGATGGATAGCGCCAGTGGTGCACAGTGGGCGGAAATATCCTCTGCCTGGAGCCACATAACCCAGTGCATATCTCAGTTGCCAACAGGAGATCCTCAAGAGAAATCAAGATGGCGGCAAAGGTAAATACTAGACTGCTGCCTCGCACAACAATTTAAAAACTGCAACTGGGCGAAACCGGTTTGGCTCAGTGGTAGAGCGTCGGTCTGCGGACTGAAAGGTCCCAGGTTCAATTCCGGTCAGGGCCATGTACGTTGGTTGCGGGCACATCCCCGGTAGGATGTGCAGGAGGCAGCTGGTCGATGTTTCTCTCTCATCGACGTTTCTAGCTCTCTATCTCTCTCCCTTCCTCTCTGTAAAAAAATCAATAAAATATATTAAAATAAATAAATAAATAAATAAAATAAAAACTGCAACTGGAAGACAGAGCGGACATCGTCCAGAACCACTGGAAAGCTGGCTGAGTGGAAATTCTACAACTAGAAGGAAAGAGAAAAGGACACTGAGACTCAGAGGAGCTATGGAGGGGCGGGCAGCTGAATACTCGGCTGGCTTACTTGCTGCACATGGAGAGGGCAGGCAGCAAATGCAAGGGTAGCTTTCTCGTTCGGGTGGAAAACAAAACCTCCCGACTGCACTGAAATCCAGCTCTGGGTGAGACTTTGGGTATCAGACTCATTCAGGGAGAAATTGGACTATCTTGGCAGTGGGTGAAACTTGAGAGCAGCCTTCATTCAGAAGCCTTGCCACAGGACACTAAGAACAGGGCCCTCTTAGGGTGGGGCTGATGGGAAACCAAAGCTTGTCTGAACCACCCTGAGACTCTGCCCCATCCAAGCTGCCCTCCCAGTGGAAACATTGCAGATCCTCACAGCTAACTGACCTGGAGGTCAACTCCCCCCAGTGATACCAACAACAATCAAGGCTTAACTACAAGACTGCACACACAGCCCACTAAGGGGTGCACCAAGACTGCCCACCTCAGGTAACTGGGGAGGCCAAGCCCCTGGGCCCTACTAGGACACCAAGCACACAAAGCCACTCCACCAACTCAGGGAAGAAGCTAAAATGCGGAGACAAAGAGACAGGCCACAAATGAAGGAAATGGAGGAAAGCAAACCACTGGATATAAAGTTCAAAACCACGGTTATAAGATTTTTCAAGAATTTCCTAGAAAAGGCTGATAAATTTAATGAGACCCTCGAGGATATGAAAAAGGACCAACTAGAAATGAAGCATACACTGAATGAAATTAAAAAAAAGAATCCAAAAAGTTGAAGATAGTTTAAGAAGTCTCTGGGACAACTTCAAGTGTACCAACATCATAATTATGGAGGTCCCAGAAAACCTATTTGAAGAAATAATGACTGAAAACTTTCCCCACCTGGTGAAAGAAATAGACTTACAAGTCCAGGAAGTGCAGAGCACCCCAAATATTGGGTCGGCAGCTAAGTAATTGCGGGTTTCACACATATATGGCTTCAGTTGAATTTTTAGGTTTGCAGACGTAGTACAAATGTAAAACACATTTTGTTATTTGATAGTTGGCTATTCAGCTGTTAATCAGTAAAAAAAGTTTTTTGATCTGTTTTGTAGTTTTCGTTTGGCGTTCGTTGAAAAATGGAAAATCAAAAGGAACATTTTCGTCATATTTTGCTTTTTTATTTCCGCAAAGGGAAAAACGCATCGCAAGCTCATAAAAAGTTATGTGCTGTTTATGGTGACGAAGCCTTAAAAGAACGGCAGTGTCAAAATTGGTTTGCCAAATTTCGTTCTGGTGATTTTTCACTCAAAGATGAAAAACGCTCTGGTCGTCCAGTTGAAGTTGATGACGCCCTAATCAAAGCAATAATCAATTCGGACTGTCACAGTACAACACGTGAGATTGCAGAGAAGCTTCATGTATCACATACATGCATTGAAAATCACTTAAAACAACTTGGCTATGTTCAAAAACTCGATACATGGGTTCCTCACGAACTGAAAGAATCACAGTTAACGCAACGCATTAGCAGCTGCGATTTGCTAAAGAAATGTAATGAAAATGATCCATTTTTAAAACGACTGATAACTGGCGATGAAAAATGGGTTGTTTACAACAATATCAAGCGGAAAAGATCGTGGAGCAGGCCAGGTGAACCAACTCAAACAACATCAAAAGCTGATATTCATCAAAAGAAGGTTTTGTTATCAGTTTGGTGGGATTACAAAGGAATTGTCTACTTTGAACTCTTACCACCCAACCAAACGATCAATTCTGATGTCTACATTGAACAACTAACGAAATTAAACAATGCAGTTGAAGAAAAGCGGCCCGAATTGACAAATCAAAAAGGTGTTGTATTCCATCATGACAATGCAAGGCCACACACATCTTTGGTCACTCGGCAAAAATTAATGGAGCTTGGTTGGGATGTTTTGCCACATCCACCATATAGTCCTGACCTTGCACCATCTGATTACTTTTTGTTTCGATCTTTACAAAACTCCTTGAATGGTAAAAATTTCAATAATGATGATGATGTCAAATCGTACCTGATTCAGTTTTTTGCTAATAAAAACCAGAAGTTTTTTGAACGTGGGATTATGATGCTGCCTGAAAGATGGCAAAAGGTCATTGATCAAAATGGGCAATACATTACAGAATAAAGTTATTTAGTTCCATGAAAAAATTGTCTTTGATTTTTAAAAAATACGCAATTACTTAGTTGCCGACCCAATAAAAGGAATCCAAAGAGGACCACACCAAGACACATCATAATTAAAATGCCAAGAGCACCAAAGCTGGTTTGGCTCAGTGGATAGAGCATCGGTCTGTAGACTGAAGGGTCCCGGGTTCGATTCCGGTCAAGGGCATGTATATTGGTTGAGAGCACATCCCTGACAGGGGGTGTGCAGGAGGCAGCTGGTCGATGTTTCTCTCTCATCGATGTTTGGAGCTCTCTATCCCTCTTCCTCTCTGTGGGAAATCAATAAAATAAAATAAAAATGCCAAGAGCAAAAGACAAAGAGAGAATATTAAAAGCAGTAAGAGAAAAACAGTTAATTACCTACAAGGGAGCACCCATACGACTGTCAACTGATTTCTCAACAGAAACTATTCAGGCCAGAAGGGAGTGGCAAGAAATATTCAAAATGATGAACAACAAGAACCTACAACCAAGAGTACTCTACCCAACAAAGCTATCATTTAGAATTGAAGGTCAGATAAAGAGCTACACAGATAAGTAAAAGCTAAAGGAGTTCATCACCACCAAACCAGAATTATATGAAATGCTAAAAGGTATTCTTTAAGAAGAGGAAGAAGAAAAAGATAAAGATAAAAATTATGAACAAGAAATACATATCTATCAATAAGGGAACTTAAAAACCAAGTGAATAAAAAATCTGATGAACAGAACAAACTGGTGAATATAATAGACTCGGGGGCATAGAAAGAGTGAATTGACGATTCTTGGGGGAAAAGGGATTGGGAGTGGGGGGAAGAGACTGAACAAAAAGCATACACCTATGGATGAGGACAGTGGGGGCAGGTAAGGGCAGAGGGTGGGGTATTATCTGGTGGAGGGGAGCTATGGGGGGGACAAAAGAGGAACAATTGTAATAATCTGAACAATAAAGATTAAATTAAAAAAAGTGATCCTCAAGAAAAATAAAAAGCACACCACTGCTCCAGGTGGATACAGCCAACAGTCTTTTCTGCAGGGCATTAATTAGCTCAGCAGGGAGCATCCACTAGGAGTCGAAGAACAAGGCTATAGGTCTCCTACAGGGGGATGGCACCAGTGGCATGCAGGGAGGTGGGAGGTAAATGGCCACCACTCCAAAGCCACATAATCAGTGTCTGGCCTAGTCTTCAACTAGTTTTCCAAGAAAAAGGACACCACAGGTCCAGGCAAGTTGCAGCCAGCAGACTTTTGTGCAGGATGCAAGCTCAGCAGGGTGGAGTCACTGTGAGTCAGAATGAGGAGACTTGTGGGTCTCCTTTAGGGAGATGGGCACCAGGGGCCATAGGGAGGGAAAAATGACCCCTGTTCTGGAGCCACAGAACTCAGTGTCTCTGTCTCTACCAAAATCTCAAGAAACAAAAGGACCAAAGGTCCCACTGGGTAGTCATCCAATGTGAGGTCAGCACAGTGTGGCCACTGGGAATCGGAGGGACAGGTTTGTGGGTCTCCTAGTGGCTGACAGCACCAGTGGTGGGCAGGGTGGAAACATGCCCACCATTCCAGAGTCACATAGTTCACCAACTAGTCTCCAACAACTACGGTGATTGCTTGAATATTATCGGTAATTATTCCACAGGCAGAATGCACTGTGCCCAAGCTGCAACAGCCCTTTCTGCAGGTCACGAGCTCTGCCAGGTGTGGGTGCCAAGAGCTGGAGGACTGGGTCAGTCCACTCCCCCAGGCTGGTGCTATGAGGACAGAAGTGCTTGACCCAGGGAAGAAGGCACCTATGGGCCTCCAGATGAAGCAGGTGATCAAATAAGCAATTTGAAGACATGGTGGCAGAAAATCTCCAATCATAGCAGCAACAAGAAAAAAAAATTAAAGTAAAAATAGTTTAAGGGACCTCTGGGACAATAGGAAGTGTAACAACAACCCTTACAATAGCCAAGATGTGGAAGCAAACCAAATGCCTATCAATTGATGTGTGGATAAAAAAAGTTGTGGTACAGCCCTGGCTGGTATAGCTCAGTGGATAGAGCGTCAGCCTGCAGACTAAAGGACCCTGGGTTCGATTCCAGTCAAAGGCACATGCCCGGCTTGTAGGCTCGATTCCCAGTAGGGGGCGTGCAGGAGGCAGCCAATTGATGATTCTCTCTCATCACTGCCAATTGGCCTGGAGGTCAGTTCCTCCTAGTGATACCAACAACAATCAAGACTTAACTACAACAAGGCTGTACACACTGTCCACAAAGGGGTGCACCAAGAGTGTCCAAGCCAGGTAAGTGGGGAGGTCGAGCCACTGGCCCATATAGGACACCTCGCACACAAAGCTACCCTACCAACTCAGGGAAGCAGCGAAAATACAGAGACAAAGAAACAGATCACAAACGAAAGAAATGGAGGAAAACAAACGACTAGAGATAGAGTTCAAAACCACGGTTATAAGGTTTTTCAATAATTTCCTAGAAAAGGCCAATAACTTTAGTGAGACCCTCAAGGATATGAGAGAGACTCTCGAGGATATGGAAAAGGACCAAATAGAAATTAAACATACATTGACTAAAATAATAAATACTATACAAAGACCCAACAGCAAACTAGAGGAACACAAGAATCAAGTCAAAGATTTGGAATACAAAGAGGCAAAGGATACTCCTCCGGAGAAGCAAGAAGAGAAGAGAATCCAGAAAGTTGAAGATAGTGAAAGGAGCCTCTGGGAGAACTTTAAGCGTATCAACATCAGAATTATGGGGGAGCCAGAAGAAGAGAGAGAGCAAGATACTGAAAACCTATTTAAAGAAATAATGACTGAAAACTTTCCCTACCTGGTGAAAGAAATAAACTTACAAGTCCAGGAAGAGCAGAGGATCCCAAACAAAAGGAATCCAAAGAGGACCACACCAAGGCACATCATAATTAAAATGCCAAGAGCAAAAGACAAAGAGAGAATATTATTATAAAAGCAGCAAGAGAAGGGAGCACCTATACGATTGTTAGCTGATTTCTCAACAGAAACTATTCAGGCCAGATGGGAGTGGCAAGAAATAGTCAAAGTTATGAATAGCAAGAACCTACAACCGCCGAAACCGGTTTGGCTCAGTGGTGGAGGGTCAGTCCCAGGTTCGATTCCGATCAGGGGCATGTGCATTGGTTGCGGGCACGTCCCCGGTGGGGGGTGTGCAGGAGGCAGCTGGTCGATGTTTCTCTCTCATCGATGTTTCTGGCTCTCTATCCCTCTCTCCTCCTCTCTGAAAAAAAAATCAATAAAATATATTAAAAATATATTTTAAAAAAAGAACCTCTAGATTACAACCAAGATTACTCTACCTAGCCAAGCTGACATTCAGAATTGAAGGTTAGCTAAAAAGCTTCACAGATGAGAAAAAGTTAAAGGAGTTCATCGCCACCAAACCAGTATTATATGAAATGCTGGAAGGTATTCTTTAAGAAGAGGAAGAAGAAAAAAAAGATAAAAATTATAACAAGAAATACATATCTATCAACAAGTGAATCTAAAAATCAAGTGAATTAAAAATCTGATGAACAGCCAAAACCGGTTTGGCTCAGTGGATAGAGCATCAGCCTGTGGACTGAAAGGTCCAAGGTTCAATTCCGGTCAAGAGCATGTACCTTGGTTGCAGGCACATCCCCAGTAGGGGGTGTGCAAGAGGCAGCTGATCGATGATTCTCTCTCATCGATGTTTCTAACTCTCTATACTTCTCTCTTCCTCTCTGTAAAAAATCAATAAAATATATTTTTTTAAAAATCTGATGAACAGAATAAACTGGTGAATGTAATAGAATCAGGGGCATAGAATGAGAGTGGACTGACAACTCTCAGGGGGAAAGGGGTGTGGGGTGCAGGAAGAGACTGGATAAAAATCATACACCTATGGATGAGGACAGTGATGGGGGGAGGTAAGAGAAGAGGGTAGGATGGGAACCAGGTGGAGGGGAGCTATTGGGGGGGAAGGAAAGAGGAACAAATGTAATAATCTGAACAATAAAGATTTATTAAGTTAAAAAATTTAATTATTAAGTTAGTCAAAGTATCCAGAAGGTTTAAGATGGAACAATTCTCCCTCTCCAACAACACCCACACATGCCAAGGGGTGTGCACACCGAACACATGCTCACATGCCCTCTTTCCCCTGGAACCAGGGGAGCAGCTCTCAGAGGTGGGATACTCTGGCATCCACAGATTCAGCCTGTCATCTACAATCTTTCTTTGCTACACAACCACAATGCCATTCATTCTCAGGCCTAGGAAAATTAGAAATGATTGTCCAATATTCAAATATCCAGAAAGAAAAAAAGTCTCTTACAACTTTTGCAATGCAATCAAACATTATTTGCTGAATGAATGTGTGATCCTTTTCTGCAATATTAGATTAAAAAAAAAATGTCTGAGCCACACACCAAATAATATAGTTGGATTAACATGGCTGTGGTTTTAACACTTCTCCAATTCAAAACAGGTGCACAGAGATTTGTAACCTGTGATCTGTCAAGGGATAAGCTAACAAAAAACAAGTCAACTTTTAAAAAACTTTACAACTGACAATCCATACATTCCAACCTTATAACCAGAGAATAGATTAATAGCAATTTCTAGTTTGCTATTTTTAACATTTTTTAAAAATGAAGGGAGAGGGAGAGAGAGAGAAACATCAGTGATTGGCTGCCTCCTGTACATCCCCAAATTGGATCCAGCCCACAACCCAGGCATGTGCCTGACCGGGAATCGAACCATGACCTGCTGGTTCATGGGTCAATGCTCAACCACTGAGCCACAATGATCAGGCTATTTTTAAATCTATTTTTAAATTTCAATTCTTTAAATTTTCCTTTATATGTCAATATTTACTAAATATTTTAAATCTCACTTTTCAGTGACCTTTCAATAGAATGTTAATTTTTTCTGTTAAAAAAAAAACCAAGCTGCCGAAACCGGTTTGGCTCAGTGGATAAAGCGTCGGCTGGGGGACTGAAAGGTCCCAGGTTCGATTCCGGTCAAGGGCATGGACCTTGGTTGTAGGCACATCCCCAGTAGGGGGCGTGCAAGAGGCAGCTGGTCGATGACCCTCTCTCATCGATGTTTCTAACTCTCTACTCTGTATCTCTCTCCCTTCCTCTCTGTAAAAAATCAATAAAATATATTTAAAAAACAACAACAACAACAACAAAAAACCAAACTATTGTCTTACCCATCCATAAGCAGTACTTCGCTCATGCTCCTGAGTGACATCAGCTACATAGGCAAATATCACAGAAAATGTGACTGAGAAGACTCCAGATACAGAAATCATTGCAAAATACCACCTATAAAAAGATATTTCAGTTACCCAGGAGAGAGGTAGTGTATGTACATTTTCATAACCACAAAGACATGTAGATTATAAACAAAAAAATAACTTTTGTTTATATGCATATATAAGATAAGGACAACTAACAAAATTATAACCACATGGAGGGAAAGAAATAGAAACATACTAATTCTGTCACTGCTCAAAGGAAGTCAGTACATGAAGTTTAAATACAGTTAGCCCGGTCAGTGTAGCTCAGTGGTTGAGCATCCACTCATGAACCAGGAAGTCAGGGTTCGATTCCAGACAAGGCACTTTTCCAAGTTGCAGGCTCAATCCCTAGTATGGGATGTGCTAATCAGTGATTCTCATCATTTATGTTTCTATCTCTTTGTCACTCTCCCTTCCTCTCTGAAATCAATAAAAATAAATTTTTAAAAAATTGAGTAAAGTTATAGTTTTAAAGGAAGCTAAAATAAGAGAAACATAAACTATCTAAATTCCCTAGAATTAGTTAAACATGCACAGGGGTGGGGGTTGTCCCTCAGCCCAGCCTGCACCCTCTCCAATCTGGGACCCCTCGAGGGATGTACAACTGCCCGTTTAGGGCAGTAGGATCGGGCCTAAATGGACAGACAGACATCCCTCTCACAATCCAGGACTGCTGGTTCCCAAATGCTCACCTGCATGCTTTTCTAATTGCCCCTAACTGCTTCTGCCTGCCAGCCTGATTAACCCCTAACCACTCCCCTGCCAGCCTGATTGATGCTTAATTGTTCCCCTGCCAGCCTGATCACCCCCTAACTGCTCCCCTGCAATCCCAATTGCCCTTAACTGCCCTCCCCTGCTGGCCTGGTCTCCCCAATGCCCTCCCTTGCAGGCCTGGTTCCTCCCAACTGACCTCCCCTGCAAGCCATCCTGTGGCAGCCTTCTTGTGTTCACATGGGGGCAGCCATCTTGTGTGTTGGAGTGACTGTCAATTTGCATAATATTCTTTTGTTAGGTAGAATAGAGGCCTGGTGCATGGGTGGGGGTCAACTAGTTTGCCCTGAAGGATGTCCCGGATCAGGGTGGGTGTTCCCTTGGGGTGTGGGGCCTGTGGTGGTTTGCAGGCCTTATTTATCTTCTATAATTAAAACTTTGTAGCCTTGAGTGGAGGCCAAGGCAGGCCAGGGCAGACAGGAAGCTTGGCTTCCTCCATCGCTGGAGGCAACCCAAGCCTCCTGCTCATTCCAGCTCCATGGCAGCCACCATCTTAGTTGGGTTAATTTGCATACTCTCTCTGACTGGCTGGTGGCCATAGCGAAGTGATGGTCAATTTGCATGTTTCTCTGTTATTAGTGTAGATAATTCATTATGGTAACAGATTCCAGGAAAAAATGAAATGATCTCCACTGATGCAAAAAAGGCATCTAAAAAAATTTGGCGCCCAATCTTGATTTTAAGAAAGAAAATCTCTGCATAAAATAAAAATTAGTATTTTTCGATCTAAAAGCTATCTTATAAAAGCTAGCTTAACACTTCATGATAAAACATTACAATGTTTTCTTTATGAGGGAGGTAAGCTTATAATCATCACTTCTATTTATCATTATTCACACAATTAGCAAAAGCAGTATCAAGAAAACTAGAAGAGGTAAAATCATTTAAAGATCTATAAAACATTTTTAATGTATTCAAAGAACATTAAAAAAGCTATAAATCACTAGAAAAGTAGTACATTCTTGGAATGAAAGGCTTAATACCAAGAAGTAGTTTCTTAAAACTCTTCATCTGGTAGGAAATAAAATGCTCCAGTATGGTTACAAATTTAGAACATGATGATAATCTATACTAATAAAAGGGTAAAATGCTAACTAGACTGGGAGACCTTCTGGATGTCCTTCCAGACAAAACCATGATGGTGGGGCCAAGGCAGAGGCAGTTAGGGGTGATCAGGCCAGGAGGGGAGGTTAGTTGGGGGCGATCAGACCAGTGGTGGGGGAGGCAGTTGGGGGCAAGTAGGCCAGTTGTGGGGAGCAGTTGGGGATGAGCAGGTTGGCGGTGGGGGGCAGTTGGGGGTGAAAAGGCCAACAGGGGGACCCAGGCTTGCAAGGGAGAGAAGTTGGGGTGAGACCAGCCCTGCAGAGGAGGGCAGTTGGGGGGAGAAATCAGGCCTGCTGGGAAGGGCAGTTAGGGGCAATTAGGCTAGCAGGCAGAAGTGGTTAGGGGCAATCAAGAAGGAATGCAGGTGAGCAGTTGGGAGAGGGATGTCTGACTGATATTAGGCCTTACTGGGATTGGGCCTAAACAGGCAGTCGAACATCCCTCGAGAACCAAATTTTTTAAACTTAAACTTCTAACACCACTTGTTCAAAATAGACTCGCCCAGGCTGTGGTATTTTATGGAAGAGCCACACTCAAGGGACCAAGAGCCGCATGTGGCTTACGAGCCGAAATTTGCCAACCACGGCCCTAGACCAATGAGCTGACTAAAACAATTACATTCCCAAAGGAAACTGAGCCACAGGAGCAAGTGGGACCCCCAGAGCCCCTTTCCCCCAAGACCCAAATCCTGTAACTGGCCTCATGGCAACTACAGCTTTTATTCTCATTCTTTACCTCGGCGTCAATTATGTAATCTCTTCATCTCCCAATTATAATATGGGCAAGATAGCAATGCCCAAACTGGCTTTCAGTATTAGCAAAGAGGTCGAATAAAAACCAGATGCAACCACTTTAAATTGTTACAAATGACTCACAGATGTATTATTCATACGTGACCCAAGATAGTGGGGATGACGCCAGGCTGAGCACTCACCACGGGCTGACGGTCATCAGGGGGATGGGGAAGCAGGTGAAGAAGACGGTGCCCAGGAGGAAGGGCTTCCGCCCCCACACGTCGGACAGGGCGCCGATGAGCGGGGCACTCAGGAAGGAGAGCAGGCCCTGGAGAAGAAAGCAGAGGCAAAGTCAGAGTTACGATACAACCTCCCAATTATAGCACTAGTAATTCTCATCTTCTAAATGAATTTCTAAATGCTAGCATTCCTTTCTTGGCCCCCAAACAGAATAACTTGAAATGTTAAATATAAATGATCGTTTTTAAGAATTCTAACAAAATTTCTAAATCTGCTAGAAAAGAAAGAGAGGGGCAAGGGCTTGTTTTCTGGGACAAGTTGAAAAGGTGATATGAAATATATTTATACCCACAGTTGGCCTTAAGATGAGCATTAATAAATTCATTTAAATAAATATGCACAGCATATCTATTATGTACAAAGCTGTGAATTAACTGATGTTATAAAGACACCCAAACAAATACACACCTGCTACTCTCAAACCGCTTGTAAGCTAATAGGGATAAACAGAAAAATTTCATAAGAAAAGCTAAAGACCTATGTTCCTGATTGAGAGTTGCCCAGACGACAGCAAAGTGGAAGAAGAAAACTGAAGGCTACACAAGGGACTGAGGTGCCAACATGGAGTCATCTGAAGAAATTAAAGACTGAAGTGGAAGCTACTTCTTTAATCATGTTCCTGCTCATGCTAGCATCTGTTAGCTTCCAGTCTTCTGCAAAGTCTTGTGCAGCAAATCCAAGGACTCTGAGTAAATCTACACCAGCAACAAAAGAGACTCGTTTAGTAGCTAAAAATAATATGTCCATAAAAAAAAAAAAAGACCTATGTTCCTGTTGAATTTAGGAAGAAGATAATGCAACTTGACAACAGGATTGAGGCTAAGGAGAAGCAAGAAACAGGAACACCAGACATAAGCACAAGAAGTACAGAAACTCACACTAATTACTTGGCAGTCACCATTAGCTGGCACTTTCATAATAATTTCCTTTTTGACTCGGGGTCCTCTGAGGTGGCCACAGGTCTGATCCGCAGACCCTGTTGGTGGCACAGTGCTCACTTCACATGCCAACCAACCAACCAGCCAACCAACCAACCAAAAACAACAAAACAAAACACCCAATGCTAAAATTGGAGAATTCACAGAATGATTGTTACTCTTGTGTCCTTCCTTGATGCTTATCTAAAATCTAAACTTTCTCTTCTATGTATTATAATAATGAACTTACAAAGTAAAAGTTAACTGAAAAAAATCTACCAAGATGAACACAAGATGTAACAAAGGAAACTAAAAATCATCCATGAATTCATACACTTGCAAACTTCAGGTGCTTCCTTTTTAATTCCTAACACTCCCAACAACCTGTTACATACACGTATTTTGGGACTGAGAAAAATTAAAGCCATCTATAATAATAAAAGAATAATATGCTAATTAGACTGGACAGCCAAACAGCAGAACTACTGTCCAGACGACTTTCTAGATGAATTCAGAGCTTGAGGGTTGAGCTTCTCGCACAAATTTCATGCATCGGGTCTCTAGTTCTATATAATAAAAGGCTAATATGTAAATCAACCGAATGGCAGAATGACAGGTTGCTATTATGTGCACTGACCACTAGGGGGTAGACGCTCAATGCATAAACTGGCGCCTGGTAGTCAGTGCGATCCCACAGGGAGCCAGAAGCTGGGCTCATGGCTGGCGAATGGAGCAGTGGTGGCAGGAGCCTCTCCCACCTCCACAGCAGCACTGAGGATGTCTGACTGCCGGCTCCCACAGGAAGTGGGCCTAAGCCGGCACCTGGACATCCCCTGAAGGCTCAGACTGCAAGAGGGTGCAGGGTGGGACCTACCCCCTCCACAGTGCACAAATCTCGTGCACTGGGCCACTAGTATTGTATAGTTTTCTATTCTTTTCTGTTGCACTTACATGATGTTCTTAAAAATGTGTTTCTTTTTTTCCTGTTTTTAATCTTCACCTGAGTGCATTTTTCCATTGGTTTTTAGAGAGTGGAAGGGAAAGGGAGAGATGAGAAAACATGGCAATCAAGGTATGTACCCTTGACTGGAATTGAACCCAGGACCCTTCAGTCTGCAGGTGGTACTCTATGCACTGAGACAAACTGACCAGGGTCAAAATGTGTTCTTTATATGCCTGTTAATTATATCATATAGAGGCCCGATGCACAAAGATTCATGCAAGAATGGGGCTTCCTTCTCCTGGCTGCTGGCACCACCTTCACTCTGGCCGAAGCTGTGCTTCTGCTCTGGCCCAGAGCCCACCTTTCCACCTTCCCATGCTGCCCAGAGGCCTGGAGTGGCTGTGTTGTTGTGGAATGTGTACATCAGCAATGATGCAAGCATCCCACCCCACCTGGCCACTAGGTGCCTACCTATGCAAATTAACCCACCATCTTTGTTGGGTTAATTTTCATACTCACTCCCGATAGGCTGGTGGGTGTCGCAAAGGTATGGTCTATTAGCATATTACTTTTTAAAAATATATGTTTTATTCATTTTTTACAGAGAGGAAGAGAGAGGGATAGAGAGTTAGAAACATCGATGAGAATCATTGATCAGCTGCCTCTTGCACAGTGCACACCCTCTACTGGGGATGTGCCCGCAACCAAGGTACATGCCCTTGACTGGAATCAAACCTGGGACCCTTTCAGTCCACAGTCCAATACTCTATCCACTGAGCCAAACCAGTTTCAGCTAGCATGTTACTCTTTTATTAGTTTGGATAGCTGTCCCACAACATATTCTTTTAATTTTATTTCCATGTTTTACTATAATAAACAACTCTGTATTGGAATCTCTCAATAAATCTATTTGACTAGAACAATTTTTTAGAAATAAAAACTACTTTTCTAGTAATTACTTTATTAAAATACTAGCGGCCCGGTGCACAAAATTTGTGCTCAGGGGGTGTGTGTACCTCAGCTCAACTTGCACCCTTTCCAATCTGGAACCCTCTCACAATCCAGGACTACTGGCTTCCAACTGCTTGCCTGCTTTCTTTCCTCATTACCCCTAACCACTTCTGCCTGCCAGCCTGATTGATGCCTAACTGCTCCCCTGTCAGCCTGATTGCCCCTAACTGCCCTCCCATGCAGGCCTGGTCACCCCTAACTTCCCTCCTCTGCTAGCCTGGTCCCTCCCAACTGCCCTTCCCTACTGGCCATTTTGTGTCTACATGGGGACAGCCATCTTCAACCACATAGAGGCAGCCATCTTGTGTGTTGGAGTGACAGTCTATTTGCATATTACTCTTTTATTAGATAGGATATATAAACTAATGTTCTGGTGCATGAAATTAATGCACGATGGTGGTGGTGGGGGGTGTTCCTCAGGCCAGCCTGCACCCTCTCCAATCTGGGACCCCTTGGGGGATGTCCGACTCCCTGAAGACATCCCTCTCCCAATCCTGGACCACTGGCTCCTACTTCTCACCGGCTTGCCTGGCTGATCGCCCATAACCACTTTGCCTGCAGTTCTGCTCACTCCCAACTTTCCCCTCTTTCCCCCATCCTTCTTGACCCCAACTGTCCCCTCTTGCCAACCTGATTGCTCCCAACTGCCCCCCACTGCTGACCTGCTTACCCTCAAATACCCTCCCCTCCTAGCCTGATTGCCCCTAACTGCCTCTGCCTCAGCCTTGGCACCATGGCTTTGTCCAGAAGGACATCTAGAAGTTCTCCTGGTCTAATTAGCATATTACTTTTATTAGTATAGACTAGAGGCCTGGTATATAAAATTAATGCAGTTAGGGGGTGTTCCTCAGTCTGGCCTGCACCCTCTTGCAGTCCGGGAGACCTTGGGGCCTAAGTGGTCAGCTGCCACAGAGGCAAGAGGCTCTCACTAGCACCCTGTGCTTGCCAGCCGTGAGCGTGGCTTCTGGATGAGTGGCACTGAACTGACCACCAGGAGGCCAGTTGAATGTCAGCCCCGTGGTGGTCAGTGTGCGTCATAGACACCAATCATTCTGCCTTTAAGTTGATTTGCAAATTACTTTTTATTATATACTAGAGGCCCGATCACAAAATTCGGGCAAGAATAGGCTTTCGTTCCCCCGGCTGCCAGCACCAGCTTCCCTCTGGCCGCCTGCAGGCACCTAGGACCCGGGCAGCCCCAGCTTCGTCCAGAAGGTCATCCAGAAGGACATCCAGTCTAGTTGGCACATTGTGCTTTATTATTATAGAGGACACTAGAGACCTGGAGCACAAAACATGTGCACAGGTAGGGTCCCTAAACCTGGCCAGTGATCAGGGTTCATCGGGACTGCAGGCTGGGGCCTACTTTAGTTCCACACTGCCGCCTGGTTGTCAGAGCACATCACAGAAAGTGATCAAGTTCCCAGTCTCCTGGTCGAATTCCCAAGGGGAATCTTTGCACATTAGCCTTTTATATGTATATGTATATGTATATATATATATGTGTGTGTGTGTGTATGTGTATATATATGTATATGTATATATATAGGTATATGTATACATATGTATATGTATATATATGTGTATATATGTATATGTATGTGTGTGTGTGTGTGTATTATGTATACTAAAGTCCCAGTGCATGAAATTTGAGCACAGAGATGTGTGTCCCTCAGCTCAGCCCGCACCCTCTCCAATATGGGACCCCTCGAAGAATGCCTGCCTGCCTGTTTAGGCCTGATCCTAGTAGGCCTGGATCCCCCCCCCCCAACTGTCCTCCCTGCAGGCCCAGTCGCCCCCAACTTCCAGTAGGATCAGGCCTAAACGGCAATCAGAGCATCCCTCTCAAAATCCAGGACTGCTGGCTCTCAACTGCTCACTTGTCTGCCTCTATGATTGCCCCAACTGCTTCTAGTTGCCAGCCTAATCACTCCCTAACCACTCCCCTGCCAGCCTGATTGATGCCTAACTGATCCCCTGCCAGCTTATTTCCCCAACTGCACTCCCCTGTAGGCCTAGTCTCCCTCAAGTGCTCTCCCCTGCAGGCTTGGGTCCCGCCAACTGCCCTTCCCTGCAGGCCTGGTCACCCCCAACTTCCCTCCTCTGCCGGCCTGGTCACCCCTAACTACCCTTCCCTGCAGGCTTGATCAACCCCAA